CTTCTACCAACTATAGCAGTACAACTATAGTTGTACAAATTTCGTTGGATTTTTTTGTTATATGATATGTCTTTCTTCGTAACCCATAACTATACTTGTATGTCTTTGACATAACCCTCTCTTATGTACTCACAAACGAATACTTATTTTTCATGCTTCGTCTGTTTTTTGCTTCCATAGGAATCTTTGAATAGCCCACATTAAAAAAGAATATCTAGTTACCGAGGTTTGCTCGGTATTTAGGACTTTTTAGTATTTATTTTGTTTTTTTTTTTTTATTTCGTGTAGGCATTTTTAAGTGAACACGTTAAGAAGACACGAAACAATATAAATCAACAATTAATTTCTAAGTCTAACGTCAAAACAAACACTCAATGACTTCCTGTTAGTTAAAAACGCCACCTGCTGTTGTATCGTTAAAGCAATTAGTAAAAAGTAATATTACTATCCACCAATAGATGTCAGGAAGGATCATATTTGACACGCTTCCTGTGTATTATTTTTTTCAGAAAATGACATTTTCTAAAAATGATTCCTAGCTAGATCGATTTATCGTCCCTGAAACCCTCTATATACTAAATTTCATGTACGTCGTTAGAGACGATTCCGAGATTCCAATTATATATACAAGAATTTAAATATATAAGTTTAATAGCTAACGTCATCATGTTACTCGCTCTCAACTCATTTTGATTCTCTACCTTCTAATGTTTCAATTAATTCTTCTACATATTGCTGACAACACATTAATCAAACTATACAAAATCCATCAGACCCCAGCGTCGAGCGAGAGGAGTCATCATCGTCTTCGGAGAATTCAATGGGCGGAGTGGTGCGGAAGGCATTTCCCTCGCGCAAGGGCAAGGCTGGCGTCGGCAAGAGACACGTGCGTTCATCTAGCGGTTACAGCAGCCACAACGACGAGACTACCTTCAGGTGAATCCACTTGGATTATTGATTAAGATCTATATAATTCAATTGTCATTTATGTATAACTCTTTGTTTTGTATTTGGCCTATGTTTTCGAAAGGAACGCTTCAGCTAGGGATTATAGTAGATGTTGGTCTTACGAAAATAAATGTCTATAGTGCTTTATTGTTTTGCTATATATAAAATTTTAAATTATATTTCAGCTTTGGATGTGTGTTGTTGTTTAAAATAAACATCAATGTAATTAAATTCAAGCTAACTAACACTGACTAAAACTACGATTTCTGCTTTCAATTCAGACAATCACTTTTTGTAATAAACATAAAATTAGCCTATTACAACTGAAACACGATTTATCATATTAATATTAAAAACCAGTTGATACAAAATAGGCTTATTTTATACACACTCACAAACACTCAAAACATCGACAATATTTTGCACGATCCCAAGTTCATTCGAAATACTGGAAACATTGGAAACACATACTTGGTATTACACAGTAGCAAAATATTTCTCGATCCAGTATATCGAACTACCCGTCGTTCAACGAGCACATCCACCCACCGTCGCGGTTTTCAGACGACACCGACTGCGGCCGCAAACGCGTCCACGCACACGCAGACAAGATGACACGAGAAGCCTTCCAGATTAACGTCTGAACCCACGCCAAGATAACCTGCCCTTGTGACACTGTCTGTGTGACGTATCAAAAATGTCAACTGAAATATCAACAATATGGAGCCTCATTGTTATTGAATGTACGTTTGAAATTCAATGTTTTATGGGCGTTATAAAATATATTATATCTATATTTCACAATTTATTGGAAAATCGCTTTATAGATTTATCTATGTAACAATGAATCTCGATCGAGTTTGGATCTTAAATGTTTTAGTAGGGGGTTAACTCGCATCTTACTAAATGAAGTCGTTCCTATTTACTGTGTCATATAGTCATATTTTGACTGTTAACGATGATAAAGTATCTTAAACATAGGTAGCAGCGTTATAAACTGACCCCGATTTCTAGTCGTGTAAATATATTGTAGATAGTTAGGCTTAGTAAACAAATATTCTTAGTGCCACAATAATCATTTTTGTATTCTATATTCAAGAAACGTGTTATATAAAGAACTCTATAAATATGTTATTGCTATGTTAATGAAAACAATAATTTGATCACAATAAATAATGAAAAAAAGATTTGTCTAAAGGTTATAGCCGAATGAGCCTCTCGAGCCATCGATCACCTTTGTGTAAATATTGTTGTAATTAATGTGTATTGAATATCAATGTAAAATTAAGAAGAACAATAATTAAAATAATACATATATATTTTAAACTTAATGCCTTATTGACCAAAGTCTTAAAACTAGTTACGGATATGATTGTAAAATTGTATCCCATAATGATTATGGGTTGTTTTATTATTGTAAAGTTTATGGAAACCGTTCGTTTTCAATAAAATCTTTGCTGTCTGTATAACCTTAAGGAGAGGTGAATTTAAATGTATCTATTTATATGTAGATCTAATGTTACATATAGAAGGTTACAGTGATGTATAAGGTTTCTATACATTATGAAATTCTTATAAAACATTTGCATGTATTTTAAACAGCTTTCTCGTATATCCTCAAATCTGTCTTACATTTGGTGTGATTAACATCTTTAACTAGAATATTTAACAATGTTAAAGTTACAAGTAAAAATTTGATTAATTTGTATTTTCATGTATAATGTTAACCAAAAAATCTTAAAAGGATATACATATTGAATTGTAACAAATGTTGCCAGGTTAAAATATCACGTAACAGCAGGGATGACATTACATGCATATATAAAATTGTTCAAATAAACGCTATAAATATTGTTCTTACCAAAGTCCCTGCCGTTATGCGTGGTAAATTACATAAAATTAATTATTCACGCACATATACTCAACACTACTCTGAAGCTCGCTAAGATTGAGTCGTCCATGAAAATAAATTCTCAGTTCATGGAAAACTGAATCTAACGTTCAGAGCACTATTCCCTATAACTAAGTATAATTAATGGTGTTAGCATATACAATCCTCAGTAAACAGTAACACAAGACAATACACTTACCTATAGTTTGGTGAATACGGCAGAAAGTTAACTTATGTACATTAAGTGTATCGTAGTTCTAGTTTGTGTCTGTTTCGACACGTTTTTTACACACACACGTTTATGTGAGATTGTGTGTTTTTTTTATATAGTTTACAATCGTTTACGTTGACTCTCTTTCGTAATTCCAACGAAGACTGCCCTATTTTTAATTGAGATCTATTTTATATAATCTAGTACACAAATATCTTATAATAGTCAATCGAAGTTAATCATTTAGTAGTTTTAGCGAATTAGTTCAATGATAATTTCACTGAAGCTATGATCGTGTATATTTCGATTATTTTTTTTGCGTTTCCTTATTGTATGAATAATGACGTTTTTGTTTTTAATACAGCTTCGACTGAGTTTTATACGTTTACGTTTTTATATACGCACTTTGATTTTAAGTTTGCATAAAATATATAATAAATAATTTTGTCTGGTACAATCATATATTAATTAAAAAAAATTACAGTCATAATTTTTACACACTGACAGTTAACAATGAGATTGAAGTTTAATGTACTAACTTCAGCTGAATATTGTATGCCACGGCTCATAATTTTTTTTGTTCCTAAAAAAGAGACATATGTATATATAACAAACTTTGCTTACTCTTACGCACGTAAAAGGCTTCCTCTACTCATTCTGTTTGCTTAGTCCAAGTAGGCATCTTGATACTACATACGGAGCGTGAATAGTTTTCATTCATAAATCTTCTCACTTTAACGTAACTTGCTGAATAAAAAAACGTGCAACGATTCGTATGTAGTATGATTATACAAACAACTACATAAACTCTTTAATCTTTCTTCTGTTATTTAAAATATACTGCAAGAATTTTTATTTATAATTACTTTCTCTTTCAAGCCAATCTCTTAGATAGAATATATTTTTACAAAACATTAGACAAAAACGCTGTAATTTATATGAAATTAGTTGATATAATCATAATAATATAATCTAATCGATGTTTGACAAAATTTGGTGTCCCGTTTTTGTAAGAGAAACACAGGTACAAATACAAACTGTTCAGTAAAGAATTTTGTTTGAGAAAAAAAAACTAAAATACAGTAACTATTAAAATTTTCAATAAAAAAAATCTTATTGTGACATTTCCAACGACAACAATATAAAACCTTAAGCTTTCGAGCAAGAACCAAAGTGTTGTAGTTATTGAAAAAAGTTATGAGATAATGTAACTTTGATTTATCTGTGAAAGACTTGAAGGTAATGTAATTACCTTAGAGTTTGCTTGTGTACAGTAACCAAATGCTTCAACATATCAATTTCCAAACATTTGTTCAAGAAACTTTCAGTAAATTAAAAGTCCCATTTTAAGGTGAAACCATTTTTGTCAATGATATTATAATAATAACAGCCAAACTGTATAAGATATTTAAAAAAATGATAAATATTGGCGTTTTCATAACAATTACATCATTTCTCGGTCCATAAATTGAACACGCTGTATATTGATGGTATTAAAACAAATGAAAGTGCGTAAATAAAAACCGCTGTATATTATAATTTACGAGCAACGAATCTGAAACACGCCAATCGATCACTAGCTAAATAAATGTAATCACGAATTTTCTTTGTATAGTCAATGTAGCCATATCATTTTGATGTTATGTTATCTAAAGTAAGGTCTAGTAAATCATGTTGTTACAGATATGTTTTTTATAAAACAAAATGATTTTAGATACAGTACGATGTGAACGGAAATAAAATGGAAATCATTTACTTGATTCAATTTGTTTTATTTCATATTTCATTTCGTTGGATGTTTAAATAAAACGAATAGACATTATACAGGATGTTTTAAATGTTACAATTAATTTGATTACAGTCATTTATTATTTGGATTTTATTAACAAATTAATATATTCTGATTATATATGGTAAGTAGTGATGTACCATCTACAACCATATACTATGTCAATCACTATCGCTGCTACTATCGTCAGCGGTGAAGTCGTAAGGTCTGAACTGCCGTCTGAAGTCTGCCACGAGCTGGTCTTCCTCCTCCCTACTGAGGAGACACTGTCGCCAGTCTGCTTTGTCCTCGCAGTTAAGTATCGGCGGGCTTGATAGTACATCTCTGGAAGAAATATTCGATTAAATTTAATGCCATTTTAGAGACATATCTTGTATGTAATTCTGAATGTAAAAATTTAAATCGTTCAAAGTGACGTCTATAACTGTGGTAAAAATAAGAAAATTCTGTTCAGATTTCAGGTCATAATGAGTCATAAAATTAAATTAATATAACGACAATTTACATACTATTTAAGGAATTCCGCTTAATTCTATCTTCCGTTCTTTAGAAAAAGTATAGTGTTTCATTTACTCAGTATGTCATGTTTAATAATATCATTAATATAAACAATAATTATAAAGATTTAAAAATCGCTATACCATTAGACGGGTTTCCTTATTAATTACAATAAAACCTTCGTCTTCAAAACTTGAAGAGATTGTATATTCTTTAATGATGATTTTTGCTAAACCATTAAAATTAGGTCATAGCTTTATATATATAATTCTTCTTTGAGTGTGTATGTCCCTGAACTTCTCCCTGAGCTTCTGGGAATGGTTTAGATTCAAAATTTTGTCCGCTGGACAATGTTTTTTTAATAAATTTTTAATTTATTAGTAGTTGTTGATACAAACTATTTTTTTATATTAGATTTGACAACTAACTAATATGTCAATCATTCTGTCACACTTCAAAACACGGAGATTTATGGCTTTAATAGGTAAGCTCCAAAAATATAAATAAAAAAACGTAACAGATATTTCTTGATTATAGGGCGATACGAAGTTCGCCGGGTCTTCTAGTATATGTATAATAATAATACTTTTCATTAAACGAACCTTCCAAACTGTAACGGGAAGTGTTGTCGTGTCTTAGCGTATATCTGTTCCCCGGAAGGTAGTTCAGCGTGGAAGTACGGCGCTCCTGGTAATGATACTTGAGCGATGTCGGTGTAAGGAGGTAGGACTTCTAGCTGAATACTGTTGATACCAGCCTCGTCCTAAGATAAAACACATTAAAAATGTAATTAGAATTTTTGTTATTATATAGATTCTGATAAGTACATATTAAGGAATACGTCCTACTAACATTATACATGCTAATTTTTTTTTGAGCTTCTGTTTGGGTTATATTATTATTGGGGTGGTGATTTATCACTTTACTCTGAATTCCATTTTTTATTTGGGACTATCGTCACTTTGGCGGGCCCCAGGGTAGCATGCACTTTCAATTATTATGCTCATTACAATAACCACCCACTATTACTTGAATGATTTAATTTAACTGTTACTGAACTGTTGGGATTATTCAATATTTTAATAAAATAATGTGTTAGGATTCTTCAACGAAATAAATTAATTGTTATTTTCACCGCACTCAATTTACAAATACGACGCCATAAATCAGAGAGAACATAGTATATACAAGACAACTAGCGCCACTGTGGCAAAAAACTTAAACTTGTATTATAATCTCCTCTATAAATGTATTTATTGAATATAAACAAGTATCAACTCACCTGAAACACCTCTAGTAATTGATCCCCACACTGCCTGCCGACCGGTACACACTGTATCTGCATGTGTGATGTTCTGAAGTTCCTCTCAAAGAACACTCCCAGTTGGTCCATTGATGAATACAGCTTCTTCAATGCATCTTTGAATCTTTTTATTTCCTTTATCACCTCATCTGGTGCCTGAAAATATTAATAATAGATTATATTTAATAACTTTCGGTTAATTGATTAATTGACTGAACCATATTTAAATAATGTAAAGTTATTTTTATGGTATATTCTAAGACATTAATTTACAGAAAAATCGAAATCGCAAATGGACAATAGCAAACCTAGTTCTGATAACTAAACAAATAGCAATCCTAGTTCTAAAACCAACTGATAGATTACATTAAAAATGTACTTTTATGCAAAATCAATCAAATCATTTTTCTTGTGTCTTCCCTTAAATTGTCTATGTCTTTGACTTAGATGTGATATTTCCATCATTTGATTAACGTATTCATTAAAATGTGCCATTAATATTTACACATAACATGGCTAGTTTGATAATCAATACATTGGTTTCAAAAAACCTTATTTACAAAAAAATCTCATAACATTACAATTTAATTAATTAAAATCATATATATTAATTACAGAATATACCTAGTAATAACACAAACTATTTGTACCTTAGTAACGGATTGATGGTGAGCTATCGGCAATATGAGAACATGGTGTGGGGTCAACGGACCTTTTGGTAGAGCGAGGTAACAATGACTCCCAACACTTATCACTAAATGTTTCTCCACTGACGGTGATGATAGACAAAACCAGCAGGTATCTAGAAAATATTAAACATTTTCATTAATTAATATAATTATAGATAAAAATCTATACTAAAATTATTAATATGGAGACTACGTGATTGTTTGAAGGCTCTAATTGGTAATTGGTAGGATTTCTGCAGTGTTACATGGCCTATTTGGAGATAACAGTAAATATTTAAGCAAGATGGGCCATTATCAATATTAAATTTGGGAATAATTTCCTTTTAAGAATCTCATATATTTACTACCTAGACAACAACTATTACAAATTCTAGAGAGTTCCAGAAAAGTTATTAACAAATGTTTGTATGTAACAAATTTTAAACTAATATAATACCTGGATCAAATTCCTTTCTTTTCCGTTCAGGGTTGTCACCACTTTTCCGTTTTCTTTTGCCGTTATCATCGTCTTGAGCGTCCATATTATAGAAGAATTGTCCATTACCCGAAACCTAAAGCAAGAAATTGTAGAATGTTCTTTATAATAGTAAAAAAAATAAGTTTCATATCATAGCTATGTTTCTCCACTTCGGTTGTATAATTTTTACCAACCACAGTTGAATTTCTATCCATAACTAGTTTAAAACTAAAAATAATAATCAAAAATACAACAAATAATTTACTAATAGATTAGCTATCATTTGATTCCTCAAATACCATGTAAAAGAAATTATAAGAGATATCTCTATATACTATTCTCTTGTAAGCTAGAATTTGGTCACATTTTGTTTGTTATTAGTTGTAAGATTTACCTTCACAACTTTCCCCGGTTGATGCTGCTTCAATAACTCAGGGTCAAAAGGACAAGAGGTTTCATCGGTAGTACTTTGTAATATATCTGTCATACGCATTTTGTTTATGGGTTGTAATGAACACGCATATATCCATTTTTCCTTAACCTTATTACCCACTGGAGCTAACGCGATGAAACGTGTGGCGCCCTCTTTGTAATCCTGGTGTACACTTTGATTTCTATGAAAAAACAAAATTCTTGTTTTGCTCAAAATTTCATATTAAGTATGTATATGTTTAATTATTTACCTATAAGGCTGCCTTTCATAATATTTTTCTTTTGACGGCACGAAATGATACCTCGGTTTTATGTGAATTGCAAGCCATGATATCAGATCGGATAATTTCTCTGGCTCAACATCTGCCTAAAATATGTAACATGGTAATATAAGTTCAAGAAAATATTATTTAAAAATAATTGCACTCTATTCTAATACCAAAAAAATTATAAAGTATGTGAAAAAGTTTATTTTATAAAAAATAAACTTTTTCACATATGTACTTCAAAAAAGAAGAAGAAATAAAGAAAAATCAAATATAAATTTGATCATCACAATTAGTTGTGGATAATTCGATTTGGTTATTATATAATTATATTTTTGATATTAGTACCAAGTAGAATGTTTACCTCTTAAAAGAATTGGTAAAGTTTTAAATATTTTACATATATGTTAATACCTTTTGGCAATCATCCTGCTGTATGCCCGACGGCCATAGTGTTGTTATTAACACATCCACCCCTCTATATTCAGATATGCCTCTGAAACACGCATCTCTAACTGCACTACAATCACTCGGCTCAAATGTGCACAAAGGTATCTCTTTGCCTAATTCCCGACGGGACATACCCGTCAGATAGGCAATTTTAACATCAGCGCTTGTTGTAAATATTCCCCTTTTCCCTAAAAAAAGGTTAGTTTTAGGGAGTTAAAGCATTGATTTTTAATAATGGCTACACTTATATACATAGGCTAGGAATGAAAAAAATGTATTACACTATGTAATGGATTTAAAAATAAACATTAAAAATTATGTTTTCATATTTACATGGAAATAATGTTATATAAATGATTGAATTAAAAAGGTTTTTATAATATAGAGAACACAAATATTTATAATTTAAACAACACTTTAAAACCAGTGAATTGAACACAGCTTCTACATCTCATTATCAGTTCAGTAGCATCTTGACTTAATTCAGTAATAAAAATATTATTTACATTTATATGTATTTCAAAACAGCAAAGTTAAAGGCCTTTAAATTATTTACATAATTAGAAAAACCCCGATAGAAGCAACTTCAATTACAATATGAATATTGCTTAAATTTTATTGATTCAATAATAAAAATCCTCATAAGTATTACCTCCATTGCTTATTCTACTAATATTATAATTGCGAAAGTTTGTGAGTGTGTGTGTATGTTTGTTACTTCTTCATGCTCAAACGGCTAAACCGATTTTGATAAAATTTTGTATACAGGAAGCTGACGTCCAGGAATAACATATAGGCTACTTTACATCCCGGAAATCCAGAAAATCCCGGAAATTCGTAGGTAACACCGCGGGGCGCAGCTAATTATTATATAAATTGCTTCAAAATCATATTAAAACGAATGCAATTAAATGATCATACCCATATAAATAACATTTGGAACAATTTCAGCACCTTCCTCACAGTAATATTGGACATGGTCACTATTAGACGGCCCGAAAACATATGTTGTGACTGGCACTGAAAACAATAAATATTCAATGTTATAACATGCAAAAAAAATTAGTACTATACTGCTAACTATTTGAATAGGAAAATGTGATATGTTCACAATTGCTTAAGAAAACTAAAGTTTATTTATTTTGTATACAAATACATTAATATATAATAATTTAGTACACATTAATGCTGCATGTGAACTATGCTATTTTCAATTTAAAGTTTGTAAGAAATTAATACATTTGAAATTACTGTGAGAATGAATAATATGGTGATTCGATTTCTACCTTCGAGAGTCAAAAATACAATTATCTATGTACTACAGTTTAAATAAAGCAATCAAGTAACCTTTTCTTGTCCTCATGCGATATGCATCTAATTGGGAATTATCTTCACCAAAAAAGTTTCCAACGCACAATAGTACCTCGAAAGCTCCGGATTTTTTCACAATTGATTCAACGCGGGAAAACAATAGGTTGAAGTTTCCATTTACGTCCCCACAAATAAGACTGTCGAAAAAATTATGACTTAATGTTTAATTTTTAGGTCAATCCACTTTGAATGGTTTAGGTAATACTTACGTTTTTTGTTTATCTGCCATTATACTATTAAATTAAAAAATTGTATACTTTATCATGCTCTAGTAGTGGAAACGTGTTACTAACTATTTTATTGTGTATTATTTAATAAAAAATTTAGAGAATACTACAATCTCTACAATGAAACGGAATTCAAACAATAAGCCTTAGTTTTTCTCAATATTAAGTATAATAATTACGATATAAGTATAATTTACTATGTAGCGAGAACTAGTCACTAAATAGTAGTCTAGACTAGACAGCGTCACGTTGACATTTTATGCTTTTGGACAATTCAGGAATTTTTAATATAGAAAAATTAAAATTTTTAGGTCAATAATATTTTTATAATAGTATATTCTCAAGAACACAGCTCGTTCATATATTTAATATATGATAAGTTTACTTTTTTTTTATTTCTAGTTTCGTGAGGTATACAAAAATATAAAAAGTAAAACGTTGAAAAAAAAAATTAAGATAATGAAGTGTATACTACATAAGTTCGAAAATCAATTTCTTAAGGGTGTTAACTTTTATTTCTCCTTTGTAAATTATAACTTAATAACTAATAATAGTTTTATAATACCTATCAATGAAATAATGAGTTTTGAAAGCACGTCTTTTCATTAATGACGTTTTTTTATTCATTTAATAACTTATTGATGCCGTATATATACTGTACAAAGAACTGTGATTTATAAATTATAAAAAAATATCGTTTGTTTGATAAATTTTTGATTTATTTTTTTTACTCTACTCCGATTTTGACGTCTAAATGCCATGCGACGTATTCAATTGACAATTGTTGTCATTATGGCTAGTTTTGTTTACTGGTTTGTTCATACTTGCTTATAGTTATCTCGTAATTTATTTTGAATCTCTTAATTACATAGATAAATAAAATAATGGCGTCATCCAGTAAACTTCCTGGAACTGGGTTGGAAGATGTCGGAGTGCCAGGACAAACGTTTCTTCGAGACGCTCTCACAAGTTGCACGGACCCTTTGAAAGCTATTGAAGAATTTCAATTGGAGAATGGAATTTTATTACCATCCTTACGGCCTATGCTTCCTCTACTAGATCTTCACGGTGTTCGGAGGCTAGACTTTCATACATCAGTACTGGAAGAATTAAGAGACAAACTTATAGCTCACATTAATGAAATGGGCGGCAAAGATAGGTTAAAGGAACACGAAAAGAAACTGAAAGAATTGTTGAATAAAAGCTTTCCTGTCGTGAAAGTTAAAGCTTTACGGCCAGTTATAATGAGTATTTTAAAAAATACTCCACATATAGATGATAAATATTTACGAGTCTTGGTTAGAGACAGAGACCTTTACAATGACACAGACACTGAAGTTAAAAGACAGATTTGGCAAGACAATCAATCTTTGTTTGGTGATGAAGTATCTCCATTACTGAGTCAGTATATAAGAGAAAAGGAAAATATACTATTTGATTATGAGAATCTTGGAAACTTATTTTTCTCACCCTCACCGAAAGTGAGGCGGCAAGGAGCTGTTGTGCAAAAACTAGCACATATGGTTGGAACTAGTATAAAACTATATGACATGGTTTTACAGTTTCTTCGCACTCTATTTCTAAGAACAAGAAATGTCCATTACTGTACATTGAGAGCAGAACTCTTAATGGCGCTTCATGATGTGGAAGTCCATGAAATTATATCCGTAGATCCCTGCCATAAATTCACTTGGTGTTTGGATGCATGCATTAGAGAAAGAAATGTTGATATTAAAAGATCTAGAGAATTACAAGGATTTCTTGACAATGTTAAGAAGGGCCATGAACAAGTATTGGGAGATTTATCCATGACTCTATGCGATCCATATGCTGTCAACTTTCTAGCTACATCTGCAATAAAAATCTTGCAACATTTGATCAACACCGAAGGCCTACCAAGAGACAACACAATATTGATTCTGTTATTAAGAATGTTAGCATTGGGCTTAAGCGCCTGGGAAATAATTGATACCCAAAACTTTAAGGAGCCTAAACTTGATAGTCAAGTTGTTACGAAATATCTACCGGCGATGATGTCTCTTATGGTAGACGACCAAGTGAGAGCATTACATAATAAACTACCACCAGATGAGAGAGAATCTGCTATAACGACCATAGAACATTCCGGACCACCACCCGATGCTTGTGAGGCCTACATGAGGGAAAGTTCAGTATGTGGTGTACTTGCAATGTATTACACACTCCACGCAGCCAAATCCCGAGATAGAATAGCTATATTGAGAATATTAAGCATACTTGGAAGCTGCAAAGATGGTAGAGCATATGAAGATCCATTTTTACATGCGCTTGTGGCTCTTTTAATACAATTACCGGACGAATTCCAAGGTGAAGATTTCAGTACCGTTCTGTTTGATGAGTTCTTCTTCGCTGGACTCTCGAAAGACAATGTCACAAGACATTTATTGAAACTGCTATGGTATATACATCCGAAATTGCCGGAAACCAGAATACATACATTAATGAAAGCTCTGCAGCCTGGGACACAGCACAATGAGTCTGTGCATAAAATGTATGAAGCAATGCAACAGAAAATGAATGCACAAGCCGAACCTGTGCCCACAACTAGCGAAATGGAATATCTCGACTCACCTTTAATGAGTGTTCCTACACCCGCGCCTTATCACATGTAGATTGATATATTTTAATGCATATAATTATATAAAATTAGGCTTAGATGAAAAAAATCCTTCCATCAATGAAATGTTACATAAATATCTTATTTTTATTTCAAACCTATGTTTTGTATGAATTTCGTAAGTTAATAATGAAACAAAAAATAAAAAAATATATGTAGTTCCAAAATATTTTATTTGTTAAACATATATTGGTAATTCAGGAAATAAAACAAGATTTTACTGTAAAATGTTTATTTATTAGTATTGACTTACACAAAATATTTATAGAACGAAAGTATTATGAAGGAAAATAAAAAAAATACAATAGTATTTAATGAGGGAAAATAAAAATATAAAGTTCTTTGGACGGATTAGAATCTGAGCATATGGCAGTTAAGTCTTTAGGAGTTATAAAAGATTAAAAGGTGAAAGTTGTCTAAGCACGATGTTCACGACGCTCGGGTTTCATGTCCAGCGAATGTAAGGACCGGAGTGACCTAGATCGTTCGAACAGCGAGGGGTCTGTATATATTGGTTCGCTTCCGTCGTCGAATGCGGTTGCTAGACGTCCAGATGAACCGGCTTCTTCGCCCACTTCTGAGAAATTTCTGCCCAAACCACTAGAATGAATGATAGAAGACATTTAATTCGACAATTATTATTCTATTCGTATACATATCTGCTTACATACTACGGTCAAATTATTATTAAAATATTACATGTTTATTATAGTAACGAAATAAAAAGTTAAGGATTTTCTCGTTTAGCAATAATTACAATGTAAACTTATGGCGTCACTCTACTTAAAGATAAACTCTCTAAAGCGTCGAAATCACTAGGCTTAGGTTGGATTAACCTGTCTTCCACATAAAGATACACTATTTACTCTTATTGTTAGTAACGACAAGAATTAAAAAAAATGAAATAAGAAGAAAAAACTTAAAAAAAAGTTCTTTTAAGTTCCCTAAATTAGCAGAAAATGCGCCTATGTTTTTGTTATTTTCTTGGATTACTATCCCTAGCCCATGAATCATCATTATGCATATCGATACGTCTAAGAAATCCATGGATTTTAGAATATTTTGACATTTTAAATTGCCCACAAACTTTCCAACTGTGAACATGATCAGTAAAAGAAATTCATTGGGTTTTGACGAAAAAGTTTAAGTTACATAAGCCTTAAGCAATAAAGGCCGGAGTAAAGGTAGCCAAATAATGTAGAATTGTAATAACAAAAAAAAAAAAATTAATAAATTCTATGTTTTGGTGTTCACAGTATTCAATGTAATTTCATAGTATATTTACCTTAAAGAAAACGGTTTATGTAAATGTGAAGCAGAGAAGAGAGAGGGTCTTGTATGTCTAGGAACGGGAGCCGCGGCACGCGTCACTGGGGCTGTCACTGACATGTTCTTACGAACTATACGCCAATAGCGCCTGCAAAAAAGGAGTATCGCTATTATTTTTAGTTAGGCGTGGGCTATTTATTATTATTTTGTGGAATGCGTAAATGACAAATAAAATTGGTTTTCTCTGTGGAATCAATAGATTAATAACAAGTCCATGTTCTATGTTAACATGAATAAAAAGTTTAAGGAACGTCAATAATTATCTATAGTAATTCGCAAATATTTGTTCGTTTCCTTAAAGAGGATTTAAAAATATAAAGGTTTTACCAAATTAACTATGCTTAAAAAGTTTTTGGAATAGATAGATGGTATTTAAAAGTATTAAGTAAAGGTTGAAAATCTACCATATATTATTGGTAAACATACTTGTAAATATAAAGCGCAGCGAGTAGTATAGCCAATAAGAGTGCTAGCACCGTGCATAAAGCAACAAGGAGCATTCGCTGATGAGCTGGGGACGCGCAGGGTTCCACTGCCGCCACTACAGGAGACGAATCAGGACCATTCTCTTCTATTAGCTCATTGCGATTATCGAACACCTTGGGTACAAAGAAAATATATATTTTGACAGAAAATTAATGTTTTATAATTCTTATTATCACATAAATAATCAAGACGATTCTAATTACGAAATGTAATTAATTAATGCTATCCAAAAATCTTGAAATACTTTTACAACTTCATTTTTTTTATTAATAGGTAAATGAACTCACTTCAATCATCTTCCGTACATGACTTGGAGTTTCCACATCATTTTTCAAATATTTATCGACGGACGCCTCTTCGTAAGATATTTTGTAAACGGACGTTTCACTTATATTATCAGTTGTATTTGTGTTATCATCTGTTTTTACTAGATCTGTGCTGTTGCCAACTTCTGTGGTCGAGTTTAAATCTCTACGACGACGTCCGAATGAGGGTTCTGATCTTCCAGAGTGACTTGGGCAATATGCCTTAAAACATAATCAGTAATTAACATACATTAATCGGTTAAAACTTAAGTATTTTGCAAGAAAAAGGAGGAAAGGAATTCTATTGTATTGTTTGTATTGTTTTTCTAACATCAATATTATATATGGTAACAAATTGCATTTAATTATTTTGCATCAACTCATATTTTTTTAATGATTGCAACAAAGATGCTGTTAACATGCAACTAACTGTTTATTTAGTTTATTTAGATTTTGTTATGTACAAGATTACATGATAACCTGGAAGCAAAATAAGTGGGTAATGTTTGATAAGCATATTTATTTTAATCGACACATTGACGTAAATACTGTGATAAAATAACAAATAGCGTCCGTTGTTTACAAAAATGCATCTTAGCTCAAGTAATTACCGTGGCGATGATAAGAAGATATACTTTTTAAATATGAATAAACACGATGTACATTTTTTTTAGCAGACCGTTATGAAATATTTTATTTATTTATCAAACAACTAATTACAAGTTAATAAAAAAGTACAGTGGTAAAACTGAAATAAAAAGAAACAATTAAGATCTCAAGAAGGAGACGAGTGACAAAATTTATTTAAAAATATAAGTATTATAATAAATTAGTTTGTAACATACTTTCGTGATATTTTCAAAAATATGTAAAGCCGTTAACTGGGCTACAAATTATGTCTCGATATTGTTATACAAAAAAATATAATCAAAAAAGATACAGAATATATTAGGACTTAGCTTAGTAAATAACTCAAAACTTAAGAGTATCGGTTTTGTTATTTGATATAATGATTGATAAATTATTATTGAACTAGTTTGTTGTGTTCTAATTTTAGGTATATTTAAATGTGTACCTTTTACAAGGTTGTTGATCTAGATAAGTGTACATTATATTTATTATTTATATACTAAGAATTTAACATTAATGGCGAACTAACAAATAGGGTTTTAGACAGAATAGGTCTTTCTTTAAATCCATAGTCTGATTTATGACAAATTACGCTTTTTTTGCTTACTTTTCCACCAGACAACGAGACTTATCAGTCTGAATTCGATACAATAAAATTTAATTCAACATTAAACTGTTGTTGTGACGCATAACCAACTTGTTTTTATAATGTTATTTTTACCATTGCAATTGTTTATTTACGTTTCTTATCGCCTTTTGTTGGCATTGTGATTACTTTGTTATTAGTTGGTTGGTATAATAATAGGTGCGATTATGACCATGAAATGTGAAGAATTTTTAAAGATAAGTGTTAATAAAAACCAAAAATTTGTATTTTTTTGGATACTTACAGGCTGGCATCCATCTCTACATGTTCTAACGGTAGCTTCAAACACAAGGAAATTAGATTCAGGTATCTTGAAAGCATTGAAACGAGCTTCCAAAGAATCTCCATTACGTCCTTTGTCTAGTTCAGGGAAGACATCCGGGTCAACGGGACATCTAATAATAGTAAGAAAACATGAAGTAAAGACATTAATGCTATATTATGAAGGACGTAAATATAATGAAAAAAATGTATAGAGCAAGTAATAGAATATATTAATTTAATAGCTTTCCGCCCGCAGCTTCGCCCATGGAGTTCGGTTATATCGCGTTTTCAAGAGAACCTTTCAAAAGTCTGCGATAAAAACTATCCTATGTTCTTTCTCGAGGTCAACTCTATCTCTGTACCAAATTTCATTAAAATCAGTTTAGTGGTTTAGGCATGAAAGCGTAACAGACAGACAGAGTTACTTTCGCATTTATAATATTAATAGTAAGGATAAATCGTTTGCTTTCCTTTACTTTATTTGTGAAAAGTATCTTAGTTCTTACCCAGTTCTATCGATGAGTTGCACAGATCGTCCTGAATATGGATCTCTAGCGATTACGTTTGTGGCGAATATGTCTGTGGCGTAATTATATCCATCTTGTGCTTCAAGTCTGAATGTAAGAGGATCGCCCACCGCTATAGTAGTTGTTGGACGCCCTTGATAGAGGATGAGAAGACGCACTTTGGAGTTCAATGAACTCTCCTCTGGCAAATACTCAATGGGTATAGGACTTCCCGACCTGTCGATTAAATCATATCCAAAACTACAGTTAGATTTTAATATATGTAGGATTAATAAAAGTTTTTACTTTGAATGAATTCATTGATTTTATAAAGAGTTTTGTTATTAATATTATAAATTTATAAGATAAATAAAACTGATTTCATTCAAAGTTTTTAGTTAGTAGCTGTTAGTTTATAACAGCATTCAGAAAAACTTAACAACCTTAAACCCATAGAAATTGTGGGATGAAAATCCTTTGTTCCTAAAAACCTACGTAACAGGGTATACAGATGAAATCTTGAAATAAAAACAAACAAAACAAATTCACTCACAGCTTTGAACACACACAGTACTTAGAATCCTTAAGCCCAAAAAAATTTCATTCTAGAAACATAAATGAATCACCCTACTTCCTACACAAACATCACGCACTGTTAACTGTTAATTCAACCACAAAACATTGGGTCTATTTGAAAACATTTCTCACTGTGGCAGAGTTTGAAAAGTGCTTAAAAATATACCAAAAATTTAATTCAAATAGACCATGAATCGAAGTTGATATCTCACCCAGCTCCAATGTAATTGGAAGTAACGACGGCTTCCGCTGGACCTCTGAATAAACAAGTTAAATTGAATCGCTTGTCTCTTGAAGTTTGAACATTATCACTGAATTGTACGACTACGATGTTAGTCATTGTGTCTCCATACTGAAATTACATATATCATTAAAGATCTGTATAAAATATTTGTATTTTATATTATTTCGATCAATTACTCACTCGCTGTGTACCACATTCTGGGTAACCGTGAGCCCCAGATATCCGAAGAACATTAGACACGCCTCCATTGCCGCGGAAAAAACAGCGATCGTAAAAACCATAAGTATACATACGACCGAAGAACCCTTCTGGCAATCGAAGAGTAAATTCCATTCCATCTTCATTACAAACTTGTGATACTAAAAAAAACAACGAAATAAACGACTGAAGTAATAAATGTGTTATATAAATAATTAACAATAATAATAATCAATACCATCTAAGCATTCTTCATTCATGCGTCCAAGTGATCTTTCGTAAAAGTCATATTCGTTTGCCGTGTTGTCAAAGTGTGCTGGATTCGCTGCATCCAACTCTCTAGTATCACGATCGCTCAATTCACAGTTATCCCGTGGTTCAACTCCAAAACCTACATCCCTAAAATATATCTTATTTGTAAACAGATAACAATTAATATGTCCAAACTGTATATCATTAAATGTACCTGTAATTAAATGACCGACATATGAAGTCTCGAGCTTCGATACATTCTCTCTGGCAATGGGCCAGTGATTGCGCTGTTGTGAAACGTCTAACAAATCGTCTTTGCATTCGTTGCCTACCAACTTGTCTGAAACTGTCGTCTTCACATCTAGATCCTTGCCAAGGTCGCTGGCCAATCGGAGGTCTTCCCCCAATGGGACCTCCTAATGGAGACCCTAATGGGCCCCCTATATGACCCCCAATAGGAGCAATGGCACCCCCAATTGGCACATTTACCGGGCCACCTAGTGGTGGAATTGGTCCATCAGGCTCGTATCCACCATAACCACCTATTTAACATCAATTAATATCAGTAAATAATAGATTAATTATTATTAGATTACTAGAAGACCCGGCGAACTTCGTATCGCCCTATAATCAAGAAATATTTGTTACGTTTTTTTATTTATATTTTTGGAGTTAAGCTATTAAAGCCATAAATCTCCGTGTCTTGAAGTGCGACAGAATGATTGAAATATTAGTTAGTTGTCAAATCTAATGTCAAAAAAAACGTTTGTATCAACAACTACTAATAAATGAAAAATAAATTAAAATAACATTGTCCAGCGGACAAAATTGTGAATCTAACCCATTCCCAGATCCCCTTGAACATACACACAAAATTTCATCAAAATTGGTCCAGTGGTTTGAGAGAAGTTCCGTGACATACACACTCACAGAAGAATTATATATATAAAAATTAGAAACAATACTGGATATTTTAAACGAGAGACATACCTAAAGGTCTATCTAAGCCAGGAGCGGGATAGCCTCCACGGTAACCTCCTGGCCTGTCTAATGGTCTTTCTATCGGTCTCCTTACTCCTATCGGTGGTCTGGGATCTACAGGAAATCTACGACGACAAAAATAGTGTTACCACCAATTTTACAATTAATACTTTACCCATATATGTTGTATTTATTTGTAGTATACATCATTAAGTATGGATATAACCATATCATTAATTCATTTACTTTCTACTTTACCTTTCAGGCAATGGACGTCCGCCTCTATCAGGATATCTGTCACCAGGTGGGATCCTGTCACCTGCAGGATATTCTGAGCCATAATAACCACCGCGTCCGAAGCCTGCTCAAAATATGTCAAATTTACAGTACACATCTATATACAAACTGATGGATGATGGTTGTGTTAATTAGGATGCTTACCAGGGTATGACGATCCGGTCGGCGGGTATCGATCATACAAATCTGGGTAACGGTCTCCGCCTAATGGGATGGGATCTCGGTTTACCCCCACTGGGTACCTACTGAACGGATAGCGTCCCCAATCGTTAGTACTAGGATATCGGTCCTGTGGGAACCTCTCAGGATACCGGTTAGACCAAGGACGTGGGAATCGACCTCTGTCGGAAACCGGGTATCTGTCAACTGGATCCCTTTCCGGATATCGGTCAAGATACGGATCGATCGGATATCTGCTGGCAGGGTAGCGATTTGAAGCGGGATATCTGCCGATGTCGTTTGGTGGATCGAAAACAGGGAACCGTCCACCGTCGATCGGGTATCGGTCACCTACTGGGAATCTACTTGGATATCTATCCACTCCTGGTGGATAGCGGTCTATGGGTGGTGGATATCGTTCCGGGAATCTGTCGGGTCCGACACCAGGTGGATATCTGTCATCCGGATATCTATCTTCCGGATATCTGTCGCTTGGATACCGGTCTCGGTCGCCCGGATATCTTTCCGGGTAAGGATCCGGGCCGGATGGATATCGGTCGTCTGGATACCTATCCGGCCGTGACGGATACCGATCGTCCTCATAGTACCGGTCGTCATCCGGATATCGGTCACGATCTACGCCCGGCGGATATCTGTCACGATCGCCGCCATTACTACCACCTTTGAAAATAATTCAAGTTAAAGTATGATTAAGTGTAAAATTAATTTTTCAAGTAACTAGCTACAACAGTAATACTATTCAATCGAAATTAGTAAATATAACAAATACGTATATAAATATTGTGTTATATCCAAAGCCAAGAAATATTTTATGTAATATTTTTATGAATTTATACAAGAACAGAGTAATATAATCATATACAATAGTAATAAAAAACATGCACATACAGAACCTAAATAAATCCTTATATACCATATAGAAATCAATCCTAATCTACCTAAATGGAAATCAAATAACTATGACATAGTTCAACCAAGCAACTTATTATAAGTTCCCAATGCGTTCTACATACGATGCACCAACAGTTTATCATTCATAAATCTTCAAGTATTATAATATTAACATAGGTTAGTGGATGATAAACGGACAACGTTTCGTATGTAGTAATGAGATAAACTTATAATAAGTATACTGATTTCACAGTTTAAGAGGAAGTCAAAACATAAATGTAGTAACATGCACCAAAGTATAATTGTCTAAAGTCCGTATTTGTCATGCACTATTCCAACCTGATGTATTCGAACCCCACGAAGATTTCGAACCACTGCCTGTTCCCCCAGTCTCGCTTTCTCCACTAACTAGTTGATCTGGTAGAATCGTATTAATTTTTAAGACTGACATTATTTGTTGATAATAAAAAAAAAATACATTTTATACACGACGGAATAAATTCTTTTATTAATTTATTTAGCAAAATCTTTGTTCTCAACAACAAGTTTAATGAAAGATATCCTGTTTTCTTTTACAATTCACGTGATGTAATACAGTGGCACGTGTTCCTACTTATGTCAATTGATGAGTTATTTATAGCAACACCGGTATTATTGTCAACTGTCATTTATTGATATATCCCGTTGCAAAAACTATAGAAGGGGACTTATACTATCATAACAAATGTATTAAAGTTTATTTATATTATGTTAACTCTTTTTATACATAAGAAAACTGTAAGATATTTAAGATTTCATTTACTAGTTTGATTGCTTAATTACTTTAAATGTAAAGCGGTCGCAACGTGAACCTCATAAGTCATACACGATAAGTAGGTGCAATCCATTAGAATAATTAAAATCCAAGGTTTACCTCTTGATCAATAGAAACAATTTATATTGATATATAATTTGAAATTAAATTATGTTTAAGAATACGTACGCATAAGGTTCTCGTAGTAATCAAAATCTGGATCGTATAGGAGTCTCATTCCATCTTTTTGGTTATATCTGCTGAGACGGCAAGTTCTGGCGCGATCACTGTATACCGCTGACCTAATATCAAAAAATCATAAGTCATTTGTTGTAGAATACAATCTTATTCCTAGATATCTTATCTATAAAGAGATTGTTGTGTAAATCAGATGATTTAAATTAAAATCTAGCCCATATTAAACGCCATATCAATTCCGATAAATCAATAATAAGTACAAAACAAATTCACATTAAATCAAAACAAAATTCGTAATATATGTCACGCTATATCGTTCAATGACCCGAAAAGAATAAAGACGCCCATAATATTTTAATAAAGGATTTTCTGTGAATAATTTGTGATTGAGACTAGTTTTTTCGTGTAATATTTATATGAAACGGGGTCGAAATTATAGTTAAATTATTTTTATACATAAATACGATAAACAATGGCCGCATCAAGGTTATATTTACGTTGAAACATTTAGAAATATCGTGATAAACACATCAACCCCGTTTAAATAATGCATTACTATGGAATCAGACTTTTATAAATATTTACAAGGATACGTAGTACAGTGCAAACTGTTTTTGAAATAACATGTTTACTACAGATTCAAACACTCATTAAACATTTAATAACTTTGACATTAAACTCGAGAGATAAATAAGATTTAGGTTAGATTTACGAACATATGTATCCATAATAAATGTATGACAAGCGTCCTAGTCTTGAATCCTAGAAAAAGGCTTTTTAATATGTTTATTGTAAATAAGAAATAGTTTTTCAATAAAGTTGACAAATTTAGAAGAGTTTGAAGCAATTTTATAAGTCTTAGCATATTCAATTCTATATGTGTATTGAATGGATTGTGTTTTAATTTTTTTCAAACATCAACACTGTCATATGCATTTTATTTATTTATTTCTTTTATAATATGGCCTTCATCCGTGCAGAAAAGTGCACAGTATATTCTGCCAATGTCCATATGCATTTTTTTTTTTTTTTTTTGTTCGAATTATCTGTTGCTGTTAGCCCTAATAGTTTTGACAGCGTCACCCAGAGGGACTGTCATATACTGTTAGTAATTATACTATAATACTAGAAGACCCGGCGAACTTCGTATAGCCAGCCCTATAATCAAGAAATATCTGTTACCTTTTTTTTTTTTATTTATATTTTTGGAGTTTACCTATTAAAGCCATAAATCTCCGTGGTTTCAAGTGCGGCAGAATGATTGACATATTAGTTAGTTGTCAAATGTAATGTAAAAAAAAAACTTTTGTATCAACAACTACTAATAAATTAAAAATTAATTAAAAAAACATTGTCCAGCTGACAAAATTGTGAATCTAAACCATTCCCAGATCCCCTTGAACACACACAAAAAAATTCATCAAAATCGGTCCAGTCGTTTGAGAGAAGTTCGGTGACATATACACTCACAGAAGAATTATATATATAAAGATTATGTTCTAGATACATCAACATTTTAGCATTCACTGAACGACCTCATTTCACTCACAAATCCATCTTTACATAGTTCAGTATTATATCGGTACACGACATTGGCGAAATCTATAAGGAAACGCCACTAACTAAAAAAGAAGAATACTGATATTACCTGCATTGAAAGCTAGTCTGCCTCAAGCATTCATCGAGACACTCGCTCAATGAACGGCCGGTGATCTCTGAATGGAATTCTCCAGTGATGCGGCTGTTTCTGTATCTTTGGAAGGCGGTGTCAGGTCGCCGGCCCGGGGAGAAGAGGTGTGACGTCACACTGTTGTCCGGGTACTCGGTCCCGCGAGCTGTCACCCGATGAGAGACTGATCAGAGGAACCTCGTGTGGTTATATAGGTTCAAGGATGTTATAGCATTTTCATCCTTAACACCATATAAGTAGATACTCTATCCTTATCCGTACTAATATTATAAATGCGAAAGTAATTCTGTCTGTCTGTCTGTTACGCTTTCACGCCTAAACGACTGAACTGATTTTAATGAAATTTGGTACAGAGATGGAATTGACCTTGAGAAAGAACAGGATAGTTTTTATTCCAGACTTTTGGAAAGCTCTCTTGGAAACGCGATATAATCGAAATCGACGCGGGCGAAGCTCCGGGCGGAAAGCTAGTAGTATATATGAATGTACTTTAAACCTGATGTCGATGACATTTTTTGGTTGTTGTAACCGAATTACGAAACATACTCACGATTATCTAAACAAACAAGATCGTAGAAGTGGTGTGTGGGTGATGCGCTAACTGTCACGTCGTCTTTTTGGGAAACAGAATCTTCTTCTGAGAGGACACATTGTCTTGTCATGGCGTCGTGTTCGATAGAACGGCAAAAATATCTGCAATTTTATTAAGTTTTTATTTAATTCCCTTTTATTCTTCGTAATTGCTATGATACTTATATTATTAAACTTACTTCTCCGCTCTAACACACATAGACTGGCACTCATCAAGTGTCATATTTGAGAAAACATCCGCTTCAAAAGGTCCACCGAGCCGTTTGTTTTCTTCTTTAATAAACACAGCCAAACCATCGCAGCGACGTTCAGCTGTTAAGAATAACATTTTAACATGAAAATAATTGATATTAAAAATATATTCGATGCAAAATTTATTTTAAATCTCTCTCACCGTTAAGGCATGTATTTTCCAAGTAATCTGCATTATGGTCATCTTCTAAAAGTTCAGGGTGTGTTCTCCTAGTGAATCTGCTTAGTGAGCAAGTTCTCAAAGCGGTATCGTAAGTTGCCGATCTACAAACGAAGCTGAACTCTCCCAAACATTTGTCCTCACACTCAGTCCTATTAGCCACCATGATTTCTTTAAGATCTGAAGGTGGCAGCTTCAATCGTTTACGAGCGTGGCGTTCGAAAACATAGCGACGTGATGGACATTCACGTTCCGGGCGATTAGCTAGAATGATAGACCAAATAATTAAGCATTTGATGCTGGAAAAATATGGCATTAGAATCAGGGACACTCACATGTTAAGCAAATCTCGTTGAAGTGAACGCTATTTGGAACAATCATGAGCGTTCCGATGCCTTCAGGCGCTGCTTGTTCCCTTGTTAAATAACAAGTGGATTCCTCGTACTCCGGTTCAGGACTAAAGGCCGCTATACGAGCTCCTGGTTGAAAATCTATCGAATTACAAGTCCTTACAAGACTGTTACCAGAACGATCCCGCAAACACAAATCCTGACATTTCTCTAACACTCGGAAAGGCGGTGCGGTTTCTCGTATCTAAAAAACCAACAAAAGCATATTTTATTTTTGTTTTAATATAAGAAATATTAATTTTTTAGACAATTTACATACAACGTCGTCATCGAATCCGTGGAGCTGCTGGTTCGGTAGTCGTTCGTACATAACCCTTCCCATCCCTTGGTTACAGGTGGTTTGGGCTGTAAAAATAAACAATAATTAGTACAATAATAAGCCCACATAAGTAATATAAATATTCTATTAAAAGTTATACCGTTAGCCATAGTCAGCATGGTTAAAGCAGTGAAGGCGTGCATCACACTCGCCCCACGCGGCTTCATCTTAATCTTTGTGTCCAGTCACCGACCGAGCATATGGTCCTAATAACACACAACATATAACAATGAATTCAATTATAACTTAAATTCATTAAGGTAGTCTAACCAAGTGAAGTTTAGGACTTTTAAATAAAACTAATATTTTCATCTCCTTTGCACATGATCACGGTTGCTGCAAAGTAATCGAAATGTCGGGAGTATGTACATACTCGTATATGTCGTATAGAATCAAAAGCGGCAATCTACACTTAGACTGAAATCAGAGAATTGAACATTTTCGGTTTGTGTCGTCCGATTCAAAAATAATATTACGTAATGTTTTTTTAAGTGATGCGCTTAATATTAAACTGTCATTGTGTACTATAAAAATAACAAGTTGAAGAAATTTAGAAAAGAATTTTGCAAAATGCAAAGTTTGAAACCATCAATCTGAGAATGCCGTATTTGATACCAAATTATGTCGAGATTGCCGTTTATGAAACATACCAAAAAATTTACTCATTCAGGGTTGTCAAAAAGGATATAAAAAAATGTTATAAATTTGTTTTACGGATTTTATTTGTATCAATCAAGTGGTGATAATGCAATTACACGGCATGCACAACGACACAAAATGGTACAAAAAAAAAGTTATTGTAAAATGTCAATTTTTAAAACTTACAAGTAAGTATCTAACTTATAAGATATCTGGTCATTAGCTTGAACCAACCCAAATATCTTTAAATACGTAAGCTACTATCGTCGTCTACCGGTCCTTCACAATAATTTTCGACTTCAGGCAAAGCCGTCAGTTGTTCTTGAGCTAGAAGTACATTTTTATAAAAATTAAGGGATTGAATCTCTTTCCAATTCGCTCCAAAATGTTTCCTCAAAAGTTTATCAACATCTTTTGTTTTATTTTTGTTGACAGGTACAATATCAGGCATAATTTCTGGACAGATCATTGCAGTATTTTTTTGACGTTTGCATATATGCATATATAATGCTTTTAGCGAGATCACTTTTATAGAAAGTTTTGCCTCTGACAAAAACATTTCCTGATTTTTTAGATCTTCTTAAAATAAATCTTTTACATTCCATAAAAGCAATTGGCCACGACGTCGTTGGCTTTACAACATTTTTGACCGCCTTTCTCCAGTCACATATAGGACAGTCAGATCCAATTTTAATTAGCGTTGATGTTTCGCCAGTCAACTCACTTATTTCTTTGGGATCAATTATAACTTCTAATTATCTTAATTTCTTTCCTATGATACCAAATTGCCTGTCAGCAGGCATATACGAATGCCCTACTGGAAACACTATTTCAATACTTTTAATAGATTGATTTTCTAATAACCAATTGGAGCATGTTCCGATTAAAATGCAATTTTTATTTTACCCTCCACATCCATCAGCTACTAATCGAATTTCTGTTATACCCTCTTTGTCCATGTTTGTAAGTCGGTGATAAACAGCGGAAGCCACTAAGTTAGAGTCTTTAGAATATTCATTCTCAGTACATTAATAAGCAAAAACACGTTCTTTGACCAAAGGTCCAGAGAAGATCCTTCTACCATTGTAAAGTTGTAATAATATAACTGTCTACTATAATATGATGTTTGGTCAGCCCATCGCAGGATTCTCTTAATTTTTCGAAAAAATCTTTTGCTCTTAATGAATGTACTCTTTTTTTTTGTAATCAAAATGTTTTTTTAGACGGTTCTTTTTCCGCCTTTATTTTTCATTCAATTCTAAACACTTTGAGCAAACATCTGTTAGAACAGAGGTGAACCAAAGCCAATATTGTAAAAAATATTGAAAACGTGGCAAAAAAATGATTTTTTTACTAAATTATTAACGAATTCACTATCTTTATAAATTTTAAACAATTTATTAATATTTAATTCAGATGGCAAATACTATCTTTCAGCCGTTTTAGCCTTACGACAATAGTGTGACTCCACACATACAAGTTTTTGAATGAATTTATGTATAGATTCCTTCTGCGGTCCAAATGTACTTGCTTTACGGCTACCGCCTCGATGATCCGTAATGACAACAGTACCAGTGTAAAAGTATCTTTGCATCACGTAAGACACTAGTCAAACCAAAAATACTTAAAAAATATTTTTGACATATTGGCACCTTCTTATTGTTGATCACAACACAATACTTAATACTAGTTTGTTTTTTCCCTTTATATTTTGTTGCCCGACTCTTTACAGGAATAATAGAACAAAATTTCAATATCATAGCATCTTGATCTATCTTCTTACTATATGAGTAAAATTTTGTATGCACTTAGCATTAGGTCATGCATTGTTAAAGAAGCACATTTAAGCGATTTTTTGTTATGCGTGCAAACTCTCTCAGGGACTGATTTTGCAGAATATCTAGAAAAACATTATATAAATCATGCTCAGAATATAAAACCAAAACCATAACCAGAAACAAGCAGAATATATTAAAATTTTAACAATCCTTCACCCAATAAAGAAAAGCTAAAATTCCTGTCGTGTCTTTTATAAAAGCTGACAATTATAATTTAAAACTGTGTAACTAATTTTGTTCAGGAATATTAAAAGAACCGCATGCAAATCCATTCACACATCATATACACATACAATAGTGGTCAAATTTATAACACTCCTCTTTTGTTAGGGTTAAAAAACATAGAATACACATTGTTTTAGACGTGATATGCATAAACTTACTTGAGTTTCTTCGCCAAGTTTCGTTTCCATTTTTTTGAGTTTCTCTGTTGTTTCCGGGCAAACTTATTTATCACAAGCTTAGGATGTACATCCATGATTCAATTTATATATATATATTTTATAGTAGTAATCACAATAAATAAAATAATTCAATAAAAACACGGACACAAAGTCGTTAGAAACTTCCAACAGACGTCATTAGATCACGTGACCACACGGACGCTTGTGATTGGTGGAATGAGTTAGAATGCCGGGTTTGATTTTTATGCTGTTGAAGATTGCCGGATGTGATGCTAAAACTGATTTTCAAGAAGGATTTCACTGCGAAATAGTCGTTTTTGATATTAGGTAAATGAAGTACGTAACGTTATTTTAAATTTCCTATGTGGCCATATAAAAATCTTTATGTTGACAAAATTTGCAGATTGCCGCCTTTGATTCTATACGACTCAATTACGTAGTTTAAAATAATAAAAAATGCTTGGAGCTTCAGAAAATATTAGTTTTATAAGTCTAACGTTTTATTTTTTTGTTTTAAATGTATTTATGTATAGAATGTATTACAAATATTTAACTTGTTTTTTCATTTGCCAGAATGTTCTCAGAAAAACGTTTTATGAGTTTGTCTATGTAATAAAGAAAGAATTTAAAACAATTCTTAATGTTTTTAAATTATGTGAATGTAGCGTAATAGGATAAATAATATTAAGAAGTTAAGGATGAAGAAATAACAAAAAGTTTCTTACTCTAACAGGCATTTAAAAGAATATAAAACGTGTAACATACACCTAATAGGTAAATGAATAAAGCCTATAAAATGTATATAAAACTTGTTGTTTATTTAAGAACAAAAAGATTAAAGTCTTTGTTGTCACTCGACTGATAATGCAGACAAACATAAAATAATAACTATATACTGATATCTAATCCATCAGTAAATATTTACTGTTAAATACAGAAGCTCGAATTCTTGACGCGTCAAGATACTGACGATGTTCAAATTAAATAAATTATTTAAATGAAAAAAAAGTCATTCGTGGCCTAGCGGTTAAAGGCCCACCTCTCATGCACGAGGGCGCGGGTTCGATCCTGGCAAGTACCAATGTGATTTTCCGAGTCATATGTACTTTTAAGAGTATTTAGACACCACTGAGAGACGGTGAAGGAAAACATCGTGAGGAAACCTGGACTTATGATTTCACAATTATAACTTTGAAATCGCCAACCCATCATGAGCAAGCGTGGTGATTAATGCTCAAATCTTTCTAAATGTGTGAAGAGGCCTTTGCTCAGCAGTGGACCCTGATATTATCTATATCTGATACTACTTATGATATGTACAAAACTACAAGCTCCCGACGTTTCGGTCACTTTTCAGCAACCGTGATCACGGGCAGACGAGATGTAAATGTCGGGAGTATGTAGTTTTCACAAAAATAAAGCACGCGTAATATGTACATCCGAAAAATATTAGTTTCATTTAAATGAATAAACTCGCGAAAATGTTAGATCTCATTACGCTAAATAAATTATAATCCAAATTATAAGCTAATAGTTTGTTTAAGTATAATTTATGTAGAACCTATGTAGTTCAATAATCGAGGACTATTTCAGTCAGTTTATTCTTGAAAGCCTAAATTGAGCTTAGTGAATAGATAAACTGGTAGTTATATCGGTAATTTGTGTTTCATATTAGAATTCATGTTAAAATTTTCGGTTCGCTGCACTAAATGAATGTGATGAGACAATCGAGAACAAGGTTGAACAAATTTTTAGTACATCTAGAACACTGCCTATAGTAGTACCTAAACACAAGTTATAAATAATCACTATACATATAACATATGAAAGAAATCCAGTAATAAGGACAACAATTATAAATTTTTAAATATTGTTTGGAAAATTCATTATAACGATGTAATTAAACGCCTAAGTATTTAAATTATAAACAAAATGTTATCTCTCTATACTTATTTTATATACATTTTTTAAGGCGGCTGAATTTATGAAAAATATGAATTTTACTTATTGTCTTAGATAATTGGCATTTTATAAGTAATAATAACCATAATAATATAGTAAACATTACGACAAGAAATACCTAAAGTACAATAAAATATAATTTGGGGCCATCTAAGTTGTGGTTAAGATAACTAACTCCTAATATTTTTTTCCTTTAGAAAGTTAAAGTGTAAAAAATCATTTATCGGAACCAAGTCGTTCTGAAACGCTAGTATATAATGTAGTATACTGATAGATTTATGAATTGTCGGCTCTATAACATTTAAATCACTAAACATTTGGCGA